ACTACCACAGGTACTGCCTCAGCTGAGGTCTTGCACACTTTCACGCTTGATTCAGGCGCGTCACGTTGCTTCTTCCGAGATTGCACCACAGTCACACCACTCACAACACCTGTCCCAGTCTCACTGGCTGACCCCTCTGGGGGCCCAGTGGTTGCGAGAGCCTCCACAGTCCTCCCTTGTCCAGCAGTCCCCTCCGGCTCTTTGTCAGGTCTCCACCTCCCCAAGTTCTCGACGAACTTGGTGAGCAACGCTGCCATTCAGGATGTCTGGGTTGATACCTTTATTCCTGGAGGGCAGCATGTGGCGATCTGTACGTGCTCCCGGACTGGCCGTCACCTGGCTACGTTCACTCGACAGCCTGGGTCTAGTCTGTACACACTAACCACTGCGTCTACACAGGTGGCTGAGTCAGGTCAGGTAGCTGCGTTGAGTCGAGCGTCTGCGTCAGGGCAGTTAGCTGCGTCTTGCTTGTGCAGAGTACTCACGCACGAGACTTAGCGCTGGCACCACCATCTTGGTCACCCCTCCCTGCAGTGTCTGCGCGGCATGCACTTCCGGCTCCTGGTCTCTGGCCTCCCTGAGACCATGCCCCCCCTCCCGCACTCGCTTGCGCCGCCGTGCCTTCCTTGCGTCGAGGGGCGGCAGCGCGCCGCTCCTCACTCCTCCGAGTTTCCTCCGACCACTGCTCCTCTGCACACTCTCCACCTGGACGTGTGGGGCCCGGCCCCCGTCGGTGGAACGGACCAGGAGCGCTACTTCCTGCTAGTTGTTGACGACGACACACGCTAGACCACCGTCTTCCCCTTGCGTCGCAAGGCGGACGTCAGTGGTGTTTTGATCCCCTGGATCCGTGCTACTCGTCTTCAGCTGCACGAGCACTTTCAGCAGGATCCTAGTCCTGCGTCTGCACTCTGACAGGGGTGGTGAGTTCAGCTCTGGCGTCCTTGAGACGTTCTGCCAGGATGAGGGCATTGCCCAGTCGTTCACGCTTCCGGCCTCTCCGCAGCAAAATGGGATCGCTGAGCGTCACATTGGCCTGATCATGGAGGTTGCTCGTACCTCCATGATCCATGCGGCTGCTCCCCATTTCCTGTGGCCGTTTGCTGTCCGATACGCCGCGCATCAGCTCAACCTCTGGCCCCGTGTCTCTGCTCCAGAGACCTCGCCCACACTCCGTTGGACGGGACAGCCTGGTGATGCGTCGTCGTTTCGGGTCTGGGGTGCGCTCTCCCTTGTTCGCGATACCAAAGCGAGCAAGCTCTCTCCTCGCACTCTCCGCCGTGTCTTCCTGGGTTTCCCCACCGACGCTCCACCCTGGCAGTTCTACCACCCTGCCTCGCGTCGTGTTCTGTCCTCTCAGGACGTCACCTTTGACGAGTCGGTCTGTTACAACCGACATCACCCGCACGCACCTCTTTTCCTGGTACCAGTCCCCCCCCCGGTAGACCCCCTTCCCCGCAGGGTCCTGCTCCCTCAGGTGTGTCTCACGTAGACCCACCCCCCTTGGATGAGCCAGTTGAGATCTCTTCTGACTCCTCTGACTCACCTGAGGGGGGTGACGCCGTCGCCGACGACACGGTGACCACTCACCGCACTCCTCGCTTGGAGACCCCCCCGGGGTTCCCGCCACGGCCGTCTTCGCCGCCTCTGCAGCCTGCTGCTGTGGACTCTGGAGCTGAGACTTCTGGAGTTGGGGCTAGGGGTGGTGATTCTGGGGGTGCCCGCTCTCCTCGTCTGGCTACCCCCCCCGGGTTCCCACCTCTGCCGTCTTCGCCGCCTCTGCAGCCTGCTGCTGTGGACACTGGAGCAGAGACTGAGGGTACTGAGCCTGGGGGTGCTGGGACTGAGGGTACTGAGCCTTCGAGTGCTGAGACCGAGAGTCCTGACTCTGGGGGTGCTGCGAGTTCGGGTGCTGACTCTGGGGGTGCTGCGAGTTCGTGTGCTGACTTTGGGGGTGCTGCGAGTCCTTCTGGTGTTGGTGTCGTTGGAGCTCCTACCGGAGGACCTGGAGCTATTGGTGTTGGAGGTCATGGAGGTGCTGCTAGTGCTGGAGCTCGTGGAGCTGGAGGTACTGGAGGAGCTGCTGGTGCTGCTGGTCCTGGAGGTGCTGCTGGTGCTGGAGGTCGTGGAGCTGCTGGTGCTGGAGGTACTGGAGGTGCAGCTGGTGCTGGAGGTCGTGGAGCTGCTGGTGTTGCTGGTACTGGAGGTGCTGCTGGTGCTGGAGGTGCTGGAGCTGCTGGGGCTGGAGGTGCTGGAGGTGCTGGAGGTCCTGGTGGAGCTACTAGTGCTCTTCGCCACCTTCTCAGTCTTCAGCTAGGTGCTACTGGCTTCCCTGTGGCAGGTACTACTCCTCCGTTGCTGTGTCCACCGACGGACCAGTCACAGCCACCGCTGCTACCACACTCCCCACTGCCTGCTCCTGCTCCTTACACTGAGGTGTCAGAGTCCCTGACTGAGCATCGAGAGCATGAGACTCGTGCTTCCACCCCTGAGCGTCGAGAGCCTGAGTCTAGCTTTGACCTTGAGCCTGAGCCTAAAGCTGCTGTCCGTGCTCGTGTTCCTCGTGTTCGTCGTCAGCGTGCTCCAGTTGTCCCCGGCACTCACGATATGACACTCCGTCCTTCCTCTGTTCCTCAGCGTGTTGTCCTACCGTTACCTCCTGCGTTCTCTCTGCCTGACGTTGATGACCCTCCGTCTGACCTTGCTCGTGCGTCCAGTCCGACTTTTACTCGCCTTCTTGCTACGGCTGTGACGGACCCTACGTTCTCATCTCGTGCTACGTCTGCCCTAGTAACTGAGCTCGTTGACTTTGCTGTTGTGTACCGCCTAGACTACCTTGCGAGTCTTGTCTCTGACAAAGTCCCTGCCTGTCCTCCGTCCGTCGGGGGTGAGACTGCTCTTGGCTGTACTGCCCTTGGCTGTGACGTTCTTGAGGAAAGACAGGAGGAGCTGGAGTGCCTTGCTGCCACTTCACCCCATTATGCGACCATGCTGCTTGCCCCTAAGGGAGACCCGGATGCACTTGACATCCCCACCCCGCGCTCCTACAGGGAGGCGATTTCGGGTGAGTACTCCTCTCAGTGGCAGACAGCCATAGACGCAGAGATGGCTTCCTGGAAGTCCACAGGCACCTACGTCGACGAGGTTCCCCCACCTGGGGTGAACATCGTCAGTGGCATGTGGATCTTCAGGGTGAAGCGGCCGCAGGGTTCTCCGCCTGCCTTCAAGGCACGTTACGTTGTTCGAGGCTTCAGTCAGCGCGAGGGGGTCGACTTCTTTCAGACCTTCTCCCCCACCCCGAGGATGACCACTCTTCGGGTGTTGCCACACGTTATAGCTCAGCGTGACTACGAGCTGGACTCTCTCGACTTCTCGACAGCTTTCTTACAGGGTAGCCTTCACGAGGCCATCTGGTTGCACCGTCCACCGGGCTTCACTGGGTCGTTTCCTGAGGGTACCCAGTAGAGCCTACGGCGACCAGTGTACGGCCTGCGTCAGGCGCCCCGCGAGTGGCACGGTAGACTGAGGACGACACTTGCGGCTCTTGGGTTTGCTCCTTCGATTGCTGACCCATCGCTGTTTCTACGCACCAACACTTCTCTGCCGCCGTTCTACATCCTCCTGTACGTTGACGACTTGGTTTTTGCTACTGCTGACACTGAGGCACTGGCCCTAGTGAAGGCGTAGCAGTAGGAGAGACACACCTGCACTGACTTGGGTGAGCTGCGGAGCTATCTTGGCTTGCAGATCACCCGGGACAGAGCACGGCGCACCATCACCCTGACTCAGTGACACATGGTGCACCCAGTCCTTCAGCGCTTCGGCTTCCAGTTCTCCTCGCCACAGCCCACTCCTCTGTCTACCGGCCACTCGCTCTCAGCTCCACCTTCGGACGAGTCCGTAGAGCCGAGTGGTCCGTGCCCAGAGCTTGTGGGTTGCCTCATGTACCTGATGACGTGCACTCGACCTGACCTCGCGTACCCTCTCAGCCTTCTGGCTCGCTACGTGGCACCCGGTAGACACCGAAAGGTGCACTGGGATGCTGCGAAGAGGGTACTGCGTTACTTGTGCAGTACATCGGGCATGGGGCTCGTGCTTGGAGGACAGTGTTCAGTGGTACTCACAGGACACTCTGACGCTTCTTGGGCCGACGGCCAGGCGACTCAGCGTTTGTTACAGGGTTACACCTTCAGTCTTGTCTCTGGTTCTGTCTCGTGGAGGTCCACTCATTCTTTTTCTGTGCTTAGCTCCAGCTGTGAGGCCGTGATCTACGCTGGGGCCATGGCTGCACAGGAGCTGCGCTGGCTGACCTACCTACTGACCGACTTGGGGTAGCGGCCTCGTTCTCCTCCAGTTTTGTACGTCGACAACAAGGCAATGCTTGCCTTGTGTCGCGAGCAGAGACTGGAGCACAGAACGAAGCACATTGCTCTTCGCTACTTCCTTGCGCGTGAGCTACAGCAGCGTGGTCAGCTGCGCCTTGCTTACGTGGCCTCTCGGGCCAACACTGCTGATGTCTTCACCAAGGCCCTTGGGTCTGGTGATCATCAGCGTTTCAGCACTACTCTTGGGCTTGTGCCGACTCTGCCTCACCTGCTGGTTGCTTGACTTGCTCTTGTTGTACACTGCTATATATCTTTATACCTGCATGTTTACTCTTGCTATGTTGTGATCAGTGTACTGCCTTGCTATTATAACTCTGCATGTGAACTGGCCTTGTGGCCGCCTGCTTGTGCTCAGATTGTGTGGTGTCCTTGAGATCCACCCTGAGCTTTGCGTTGCTTGTTCTCTTGCTTGTCTGGTCTTGTGACCACTGTTAGGTTTGGCTATCCCCTCCTTCACCTATGGGGGTGTGTCAAAACATATATTGTTCTGTTCATTTCACTCTAGGTTGTGAGGGGTTCTTTCCTTAGAGGGTACAACATTTCACTCTCGATAGTCTTGTATCCCCCTCCCTTACCTAATCGACATTCTCACCTAGCTAGTAATTCTAACAAGGGCTAGGGGGGGCGGAAGGGGTCCCCAAGCAACCAGGACGAGCGGAGGTCTGGGTGGATAGAAGGGGTTCCGTTGTGGTCGAAGACGAGGAAGCGAAGTCGAGTGGCCAGCTTGATGCGAGCGGCTGAACGTAGTTGTTTTTTTATTGATTGTTTCTTCCTGCGCCATAAGAAAATTTTGAAAGCAATGAGGAACTTGGCCAGTATGAGCTGGAGGATCTCAAACCGGGAGGAGGGCGAGTCTTGGAACTTGTGTTCACAGCGTGCATTCCAAATAGCTTTTGTAGATGCCCCAACCAGGAGACTCCAAGGGGCCACCTGGCCAGCTCTGGAGGCGAGTGGGAAGAGCAGGAGCTCAGGAGGAGGAGAGCAGTGGAGGTGACGACGAGCGACGGAGGAGAGAGCGGAGATCACCGCGGGGGCCACCCCACACTCGTAGAAGATGTGGGATATAGTCTCTTTGGGTGCGGCCAGGCAGAGTGAGCAAACTCTCCGGTCTGCGGCGAAGTTGAAGCGCGAACCTGAAGGGAGGGCGCGAGTGTAGAACCGGTACATGACGTCGCGCGGGAGGCTGGGTTGCTCACGTAGAAAGTCATGGGAGAGGTCGGGGAGGAAGGGAGGAGGAGCGGGGAGGACGTGGATCCAGTGGGTGGCGTGGTCGAGGGGGAGCTGAGTATAGAGCCGGCGGCGCATATCGGCTACGCTGGGGCATCCGTCCTGTAGGATGTCGAGCCGCACGCCGAGCCCTGCACCTGTATGGAAGGGGCCTGCAAGCCAGGACCCGACGACGTGTACCGCAGAGAGGGCACCTATGTGGAAGGTGCCATCTCCGAACGATGGCCGGACGATGAACCGGTTGGGGAGGACACGATGAAGAGAGACTGAGAGCGACGACGGAGGGAAGAAGGCCGTGACCTGAAGAGCAAGAGTGGGGGAGGTCTCGGAGTCTTCTTTAGGGACGAACCACTCCCCAAGGGCTGCCGAGGGGGGAGGGGGGGAGCGAAGGGCTGACCACCAGGGCTTGGGGATAGCACGGACGAGTTCTCGCCAGACTCTTCGTCCAGAGGAGGAGTTGGCTAGGGGAAACAATGAGGTGAAATGTTTAAAGGAGACCACGCCAAGCAAGAGAAAGATGAGAGAGATCAAATTGCCGACGCGAACTTGCTGTCAGAATGTTATTGTTCTCTAGCTTGCAGTGGGGTACTCTATAGCGAGTACATCCCCTTAGGGTTTCCTATATGTATCCTGCTGCTTTCTAGTGAACCTCTCCTTCTTTGCTTAAACTGTCTCTTGCCCAGCTAGGGCTTACCTAGCTACGGCTCCTCATCTTAACTACTATACTACTCACTATCTTCACATGGTATCAGAGGGCGGCATGTCTGCCGCCGCCCTGTGTATGGGCTCACCACCTGCTTCCGCTTCCGCTCTGTCCGCCGCGCGCCCCGTGGTGCGCGGCGTCGAAATTAGGGTTTTCAGCCCGCCGTGCGCCCCGAGGCGCGCGGTGGTTTTCTGCCCGCCGTGCGCCCCGAGGCGCGCGGCGGCTTTCTGCCCCGTCAATCCGCGCGTCGCCCCCGGGAGGCGCTGCGACGGGCGACGGAGACCCGCGCGTCGCCCCCCGTCGCCCGTCGTGGCCTGCGGGACCTGCGTAGGGACCGCGCGCGGCCCGTACAGCCTGCGCGCGGCCCGTACGGGCTGCGCCAGGCCCGCGTGCGGCCCGTACGGACTGCGCCAGGCCCACGCGCGGCCCGTACGGGCTGCGCCAGGCCAGGGCGCGCCTCGAGCCGCCCGCGCGCGGTTCGTACGGGCTGCGCCAGGCCCGGGGGCGCCCTCTTTCCTCTTCCCTTGAGCCGCCCGCTGTCCCCCGCGCTTCTGACGGCGCCCCACCCCTGCTGCTACCCGTGCTCCTGGATTAGGGTTTGGGGGTGGAGCGTATGGGGGTACGGGGGTGCAGTTTGTGAGCGCCGTCCCCTGCTCCTCCTCCTCCTCCGTCTCCCGCTGCTGCAGCTGCCGCTTAGGGAGGTGGGTGTGTGGGAGCCGAAGGAGTGGTGCTAGGGGGGTGACGTGGGAGCGGAGTTAGGGTTTGAGCGAGGGGTGTGTGTCGAGGGTGTGGGGCAGTTGGAGGAGGTTGTGTGGAGGTAGCTGTCGTGTTGCCTGCAGCGCCTGTAGTCCGTCGCTCTTGCTTCGGTAGCCAGTGAGCCTGTTGCACCAGTCGCCAGTGGGTCCGTTGCTCCTGCCGCTCGTCTATAGCCGCAGAGCCAGTCACTCCAGTAGTCCGTCGCCCTTGATTCGGTAGCCACTAAGTCAGCCGCTCCTGTGCTCGTGCCTCTGCAGCTTCAGACGTTGCCTCCCATCTTCTCTCCTTCCACAGTTCCTCCTCCTCCTCACTTGCCCTCTGTGATATCCTCTAGCTTTGCTTGTCCTTGTGAACCTGCTCTAGGACTACTTGCTCTGCTGATTATACCCCACTTTGACTATGGGGGTGTGTTAGAATGTTGTTGTTCTCTAGCCTGCAGTGGGGTACTCTATAGCGAGTACAACCCCTTAGGGTTTCCTATATGTATCCTGCTGCTTTCTAGTGAACCTCTCGTTCTTTGCTTAAACTGTCTCTTGCCTAGCTAGGGCTTACCTAGCTATGGCTCCTCATCTTAACTACTATACTACTCACTATCTTCACACTTGCATGGAAAGGAGAAAGCGTTCACGCGTGAGAATCCCGAAGGGCTTCCCGTTAGGTTTGAGAATAAAATGGTTGAAGGCGGTGGGCTCACCCATTATACACATACGGGCGAGGCGAGATGGGGCAATGTCCGGGGTGATCTCTATCAATGCGTGTAGTTCAGCGAGTGCTCGACTCGGGATTGCCGTTGGCAGAATGCCTGATTGAAGGATGGCTGGGTGCGCTAGGAGACAGTGTGTGCCAAAAGGGAGACAGACGGCGGCTCTCGCTACCTCCTCCGATGGTGAGGCACCGAGGCGGCGGAGCGCGCGATGAGCGGCTAGAGCGCGGATTTGGGTGGAAGGGGCGATCGCTCCAAGGCCTCCATGGCGAGTGGAATCACACAGGAGCCGATTAGGGATGAGACGGACCGCAAGGTCGTGCTCCTTGAAACAAGAGGAAGATAGGAAGTTCCCGACCAAGACGTCTAGGCGTTTGATAATGTCGGGGGAGGCGGGTTGAAAGCGGCCGGGGAAGGAGATAATAGAGTTTAAGAAGACCGACGTAAGTGACTTGCGGCATGTAGCTGTGGCACGAAGGGCGGCAAGGAACTTGGCCATGCACTGAACGCGAGAGAGAGTAGTGGACCAGGTAGTGTCGCCTGGTTGTGCATGTTCGACGTAAATGCCAAGAATGCATTTTGCCTCTTGAGGAGTGCGAATGGGAGTGGGGCCAGCTAGGAGGATTTGTTCCGGGGCAATGTGAAAAGGGATAATTGAACATTTGTTCCAATTGGGGTGTTCTCCAGAGACTGCGGCGAAGGATCGGAGGTGCATAAGTGTAGTCCCAAGCTCTCTGACGGAGGAGAGAAAGATGGTGACATCGTCAGCATAGTATGCCATGAGCCCGCGCTGCGTCGTAGAGAGGGGGAAACCCGGGAGGAAGAGCGATAGGTAGCGCTGTAGGATTTCAATGGCACACACAAAAAGGAGGGGGGCGAGAGGGCAACCTTGTCGGACCCCCGTTCGGACAGGGAAGGTGGGTCCAGCGAGGTTGTTAACGGAGATGCGGGTGGAGGTGTTAGTGTGCATGAGGCGAACACAGGCGATGAACTGCTCGGGAAGTCCCACCACGGCAAGCGCTTGAAAGAGGAAGGCCCGGTTAGCCAGGTCATAGGCCTTGCGGAAGTCAGCGGTTAAGGCGAGCAGGGGGGTTTTCGTGGTTGCGCTCCAGTCGAATATGTCAAGTGTATCATTGATTGTATCGCCAATTTTCCAGCATTTAATGAAAGCGGTTTGGGAGGGGTGGATAATTAGAGGGAGAGCAAGTTGCAACCGGTTGGCGAGGCATAGGGCTAGCACCTTGTAGTTCAAGATCATGAGGGTGATAGGGCGAAGGTTGTCAACCATAGAGGAGCTTCCCCTCTTGGGAATAAGGACGGTGCGGCCTGACAGCATTGACGGCGGGAGGGTAGCGGAGATGTGCGGGGAGGAGAAGAGTGAGAGAAAAGCAGGGGCAAAGAGGGTATTGTATTGACGGAAGAGCTCGCCCTGGATGGCGTCAGGGCCGGGGGTTTTGCCACGGGCGAGCTGGTTTAAAGCATTGTTAATCTTCAGAAGGGAGAAGGGGGCTTGCAGATGGTTGAGAAGTCGGGGAGGGAGTGAAGAAGGGGGGATGTGAGCCCAGAAGGCAGGATTTGGCACGCCTGGGGTTGCCCCGCTATAGAGGGACTGGAAAAATCTGGTGCATTCACCGGTCATGGCTCGCAGATCTGAGATGGTTTGTCCATCTGGTAGTGTAAGCGATGAGATTAATGAGTCTTTGATGCGGGAGTTGAGTTCTGCCAGTAAGGAGGAGGTTCCCATCTCCCGACGGCCCTCGACTTTAAGCTTTGCTTTTAGGGCGAGCTTGGCGGTTTTAGATGCCTCATATCTTGTTAGTTGGGTGCGGGCTTTGAGGAGTTGTGTGGTCGCATCCTGGTCCAAAGGGGAGAGGGCAGATTGGAGCTGGAGGTGGCTGATGAGTTGTGCGAGATGGGCGGTAGTGCTGGTAACCCATTTGCGCTCTTCGTTCGAGAACTGTTTGAGGCTAAGGGTGAGGGCCAGTTTCCAGGAGTCCCATGCTTCAGAGGAAGGGCGTGGTGGCAGGGAGGGGAGGTGAGATTCGATTATGGTAGCGACTTGGGGCCGGTGGAGAAGAGAAGAGCTGAAACGCCAAGGTCGCGGTGCCATGGTTGGGTTGTTGAATGTGAGGGTGCAGAGGGGTGCAAAGGAGTGGTCAGAAACGTCAGTTGGGGTCTAGAGGTAGGAGGTTTCGGAGATCCGTGGGAGGAATGAACTGGAAAGGTAGAATTGGTCCAATCTGGAGGCAGGCGGGAGAGTTGTGCCAGCACTGGCCCGGCGGCCAAAGTAGGAGAAAACGGGGGCGGCAGGGTGGAGTGAGCGGTACACGTCGGACAGTGCATGCGATAGCAAGAGATTAGACACCATGGTGGCCTCGCTAAGTTCGTGACCAAGTAGCGAGCGGTTACGGTCAAGGGGGGAGACCACCGAGTTGAAGTCACCGGCGAGGATCGTGGCAGCAGCTGTAGTGGGTTACTCCAGTACAAAAGTCAGAATGGATCTCCACCAGACCCGGCGGTCAGTAGCAGGTCTTGGCGCATAGATAGCGAGGAGGCGAAGTTGCTCACGCAGGAAGTTGATATGTACGGATAGGAGGCGGCCATCGGCGGAGGGGGACGGGGAGGTGAGAGATACTGCTCTGTCGAAAGATAAGATGGAGATGCCGCCGGGTTGCGGACACGGATGGCCGTTTGAGTTCAGAGCGTAAAGAGTGGGTGCGTGTACCGAAGAGTGTGGGCGGAGTTGGAGTGACAGTCAAGGTAAGTTTTTTGAGAGACGTGTATCCACTAAAATGAGAATGTCTATGTGCGGCGGGGGGGGTGGAGAGCCAGCGCTTTAAAGCGTTTTGTTTAACCGGCGTATTGATACTATTCATGTTGAGGCATCGGACTCGTAGGGGCGTTAACATTCTACCAAGTGGGAGCCCACCGCGCAGAAGGGTGCGCGGATCCACGGGCGTGGGTATTTATACGAGGGGGAAGGAGGTTGGTGGTGGCTGTGGGTGCCAATAGAGCTGTCAACGAGTATAGACTGAAGTTTGTGATGGCTATGCTTGCGTGCTGGTTTTATTCGGACGGCGCCAAGGTCACACCAGAGGTTTAACAGATGGTGGTTGGCAGAAACAGTGAGAAGAGGTGCAACATATGAGTGAAACTTGGGCAGTTGAGTGCAATACTGGGGGTTGAGAAGTGTAGGGCTCGAGTTTTGAGTATTAAAGAAGATGAACAATAATGTGGTATCAATATAGGTATGAAGAAGGCGTAATTGGTAGAGTGCGCGGATGGGAGAGTTGGAGTGAAGACTAATAGTGCAATTAGCATCACGTTCATCATGAGAGACATGATCGTACGCACACTAGTTGAGCATACAAAGGCTAAATGGGTGCAAGCTAAGGAACACAAGGAAGGTTCTAGCAATGGATCATAGCCGAGGTGCACATGCTGCTGCGCTAAGGACGGCCGCGAAGGAAGGCAGTCACCATAGCCTTCTGCTGCAGCAGGGTGAGTGCGCGCCAAGGACCAAAGTCGTCCTTGGCAGCCGGGCGGTGAGCGGAGGCCTTCACGCGGGTGGCGTGCAGGTTGGACTGGATATGCTCCATGGCGCTGTTGAGGGCAGCGCCGCAGGTGAAGTCGCAGAGAGCGCATGTCCAGTATTCGACCCAGTCGTCCAGCCCGATGTAGAGGAGGCCGGGGTCGTTGCGGAAGGCGGTCGGCGCAGCATGAGTCCCCAGAAGGTTGCCTGCAAGAGAGGGGGCGGTTGGGGGGAGGAGGGGGGAGCAGGGGGGGCGGGGGGGTGGACGGATGTGCAGTAATAAGGGGGGCAGGGAGAGTTGGAGGGGTGGGGCCGGTGGGGGAGGTGAGGGTGAGGACCAAGAGGGGGGGAACCAAGTGGCAGCGGGAGGAGGGGGGTGCAGGGAGGGGGGGAAGGCGCGGGGAAGGGGCGGGGGTGTTCGGGAGTTCGGGCGGGGGGGAGAAGAGATCAGAGGGGGGTGGAGCGGCCTGCTTGAGAGCAATGTGGGAGAGACCGGGGGGAGGGGGATGCTGGCAGAGGGGGGGAGCCACGTTGGGGGTCGGGCGGCCCGGTCAGAGCGCTGGGGACGGTTGCAATTGGGTCCCTGAAAGGGTGGGGGGTGAAAGGAGTGAGGGGGGGTGGGGAAGGCGGTATTGAGGGTAGGGGGAAACGAGAGGAGGGGGATCGGGAGAGAGGGAGGGAAGGGGAGGAGTCGGGGTGTGGGGGAAGCAGGGGAGGGTGCTGTTAGAAACAGGGGGGAGAGGGAGGGGGAGGGGAGCGTCTCCGTGCCAGCATGGGGGTGGGCAGCGGGGCCGTCCTCTGGGGAGACCCTGGGAGGGAAGGCGCCTAAAGTGGGGGGTGTGTTGGAAGGGAACAGGGCGAGGGGTTCCGTAAGAAAGTGCGGTCTGCGAGGGGGGGGGAGAGCAGGGGGAGGGTGCGGGTGGGGTGTGAGTGTGTGGGAGGGCGGGGGTCCGTCCTCAGAGGGGGAGGGGGGGGGGAGTGTTGTGGGGGGAGGGGTTGAAGTGTGTAGGGGCAGGGAGTGGGGGATCAAGGGTAGAGCAGAGGCTCCGAGACGCGGAGCTTGCATGGGGGGAGTGGGAGTATGGGGGAGTCATGAGGGTGGGCGGAGGCCCGACTGTAGGGGGGACAGAGGAGGGTACGTTGGTGGCAAGGGCTGAGCGTCCTGGGAGGGAAGTTTGCCAATAGGGGTTGGAGAGGGCAGGGAGGGGGGGGTGGTGTGGGGAGGGCGGGAGAGTGAGTAGGAGCCCCACGACATGGGGGGCCGGAGAAGGAAGCACTGTGGGGGAGAGGTGGGTGACGGGGGTGAAGGCAGGGTGTGGGGGGGCACCTGGCGCGGGGAGAGGGATGGGTAGGAGCGAGGGGAGTGGGTAGGGTCAGATTGAAAGTGGGGTTGGCAGGGGCCCGGGCGGCCGTACGGGGGGGGGAAGCAGCACGGCAGAGGGGAAGGGGGGCTCTTAGGGAGAGAGGAGCAGCAGGGGGTGAGTGCGGGGGTTGGAGGGGACCAGTGAGGTTGTGGGTTAGGGGGAGGGGGAAGTGGTGACTGGATGGGGTTGGTGTTGGGGGGAGGAGGGGGGAGCAGGGGGGGCGAGGGGGTGGACAGAGGTGCAGGAATAAGGGGGGGAGGGAGAGTTGGAGGGGTGGGGTAGGAGGGGGAGGTGAGGGTGAGGACCGAGAGGGGGAGGACCATGTGGGCTAAATGGCAGCGGGAGGAGGGGGGTGCAGGGAGGGGGGAAGGCGCAGAGAAGGGGCGGGGGTGTTCGGGGGCCCAGGCGGGGGGGAAGAAGAGACCAGAGGGGGGTGGAGCGGCCTGCTTGAGAGCAATGTGGGAGAGACCGGGGGGAGGGGGCTGCTGGCAGAGGGGGGGAGCCACGTTGGGGGTCGGGCGGCCCGGACAGAGCGCTGGGGACGATTGCAGTTGGGTCCCTGAGAGGGTGGGGGGTGAAAAGAGTGAGGGGGGGTGGGGAAGGCGGGATTGAGGGTAGGGGGAGACGAGAGGAGGGGGATCGGGAGAGAGGGAGGGGAGGGGAGGAGTCGGGGTGTGGGGGAAGCAGGGGAGGGTGCTGTTAGAAACAGGGGGGAGAGGGGGGGGGAGGGGAGCGTCTCCGTGCCAGCATGGGGGTGGGCAGCGGGGCCGTCCTCTGGGGAGACCCTGGGAGGGAAGGCGCCTAAAGTGGGGGGTGTGTTGGAAGGGAACAGGGCGAGGGGTTCCGTAAGAAAGTGCGGTCTGCGAGGGGGGGGGGGGAGCAGGGGGAGGGTGCGGGTGGGGTGTGAGTGTGTGGGAGGGCGGGGGTCCGTCCTCAGAGGGGGAGGGGGGGGGAGTGTTGTGGGGGGAGGGGTTGAAGTGTGTAGGGGCAGGGAGTGGGGGATCAAGGGTAGAGCAGAGGCTCCGAGACGCGGAGCTTGCATGGGGGGAGTGGGAGTACGGGGGAGTCATGAGGGTGGGCGGAGGCCCGACTGTAGGGGGGACAGAGGAGGGTACGTTGGTGGCAAGGGCTGAGCGTCTTGGGAGGGAAGTTTGCCAATAGGGGTTGGAGAGGGCAGGGAGGGGGGGGTGGTGTGGGGAGGGCGGGAGAGTGAGTAGGAGCCCCACGACATGGGGGGCCGGAGAAGGAAGCACTGTGGGGGAGAGGTGGGTGACGGGGGTGGAGGCAGGGTGTGGGGGGGCACCTGGCGCGGGAAGAGGGATGGGAGGAGCGAGGGGAGTGGGTAGGGTCAGATTGAAAGTGGGGTTGGCATGGGCCCAGACGGCCGTACAGGGGGGTAAGCAACGCGGCAGTGGGTAAGGGGGGCTCTTAGGGAGAGAGGGACAGCGGGGGGTGAGCGCGGGGGTTGGAGGGGAACAGTTAGGTTGTGGGGAAGGGGGAGGGTAGACCAAGGGGGAGGTGGTGACTGGATGGGGGGCAACGGGGGGGGCGACCGAGAGGGCATCGAAGGCGGGCTAAGGGCGTGCAATGACAGCGGAAAGGGAGGATGCTTGCGGATAAAATAAGAGCAACCGATTTCGTACCGTTTGCCTGCTGCAGCTGAGCAATTGAGATCGTGTTCTTGTTCGTGAGGCGCCCGCGGCGGCGAGCAGCAAAAGCCTCGTGGTGCGATGCACGATGGTTGTTACCGCACAGCGAGCACACGTGGGAGGAGAAATTGAGCAGCATAGCGGGCTTGTTCGTCTCCAGCATGATTTCGGATGGGATCCGTTCGAAGTTTGGATCATCGGGGGTGGCGACCGGGAGCCCTGCGAGGTGGGTGAAAAAGGTGTCTTCGTAGGGGTCGGAAGCACGGTGAAAGTCAGTCAGGTCCGCGAGCCAATGCGCGCCGTCCTCGTCGGTGGTCCCGAGGAGAGAGGCGCGGATATCCTCCGGATCAAACTCGAGGGGGAACTTTCGAATAGACAGGGTGGGAGCGCCGGCTGCCTTTGCGGCGGTGAAGGCTTCGAACCTGTCAACATAAACTTTCAACATGACGGGGCGGGAGTTGGAGATTTTCAGCATGAGGGGAAAAAGCTTGCGAAAAGCCGCGGCATCTTCCTGCGACGGCCAAGAGAACAACAGGCGGCCGTACACGCGACGGGCCACACGGAGGGATTCGCCGACGGTGTGCTCGAAGGGGGGGATGATGCTCGAATCAAACATGAAGCCGCACAACTGCGCGTTGATCCCGGCGAGGAGTTCCGTGCGGTGCGACCCCAACACGGCCTCCGGGAGGAGGAGCGTGACTACCACGCGGCGGCGAAGGGGGAGGAGCATCGAGGTGGCCGTAGTAGTGCGCGCGCGGCGAAGGTTACGGGGGGATCCGCCAGGCGCGGGTGAGGCGAAGAGCGAGGCGGGCAGCGCGGGGGCCGGGTTGACGCCAGCGACGACTGAAGCGTAGGCAGCGGCGTGGAGGGCCGGGGCGTTGGGGGAGGCAACAGTTGCTGCCGGCGTGGGCATGGGGCCGCTCGAGGGCGACGCAGGAGCAGCAGCAGCGAGGGGCATGGGAGACCGCGAGGGCTGCGCTAGGGCCGAATCAGAGGAGGTGGCGGGGGAGTTAATGCTGGTATGGCCTGCGCCAGTGTCCATGCAAGCCTTTTTCGCCGCGGGATGGCCGGGGGAGCACGTGAGTTCGTTGATTAGCCCTTCGGGGAGGTCCTCCACCAAGAGATCCTCACCGGACTCGGCGAGGGCTTCCTCTTCGGCTGCGGTCATGGTGAGATCGGTATTGAAGACCTGCTTAGACATAATGCAAAGTGGAAGGGGGGACCGTTTGAGGTTGGGAGGCAAGTAATGAGTGACTGGCAAAGATTTGGGTGAGTTAAGTAGGTCAAGGGCGAGAGAAAGCCCGTGAGGGGACGATTGGGCATAGGGGGAGCAGGGACGCGGCGGAAGCGAGCGAACGTGAGGCCTTGGGGGCAAGGCTCTGAAGGGGGCACGTTGGGGGGGGGGGTTGGGAGAGGGCGCTCGGGAGGGGAAGTACCGAGAGAGGCTTGGGCAGCGTGGCGGCTGCGGAAAATGAGGCGACGTGTCGAGTGAATTAAAGCTGCGGCCTACATACTCCGAGCGGGAGGGCTGATATTATCACTTGAAAACAGGGTGACCAGTTTTTGGACTCAGCCCCCTTTCCTGCAAAGTTAACGGTTGAGAGGGGTGGAGAGAGGGGGTTGGGGTTCTTTCCGCACGAAACCGAACTCCCCAGGTTGTCTCCCGCCCTTCCGCAGACCCTCCTCCAAACCACCCGTCAGCACGAAATTGGGCTGGATTCGCGTTTCCTGTCTGAGTTCGTCTGCTGCGGTGTTTCTGAAACATGCTGACTTCGTTCTCCAATCAGGCTGCACGAAAGGGTTGGCATAAAAAATACACCCAAAAAACACCACTTAGTATGTAGAACGCAGCTTTAAGGGACAGCTGCGGGATTGGGCGCCTAGTTGGCAACCCGGAACCCGGGACCGTTCGAGGGTCCGAGTGCTCGCGCGCAAAATAAACTGGCGGCCTAGGCGGCGCGCCGAGTTTTTGAGCCATGTGAAGGGCTTTGCCGGAGGCAGCAAGTGAGTAAAAAACGGAGCATATGCAGCAATGTTGCTAAGGGAGGCAGGAAGTCCAGGAGTGCTGGCGTTTTTCAAGGCATGAAAAAACGGAAGAAGGAGGAGGTGGGGCGCAGGGGAAATCGGCGGGACGATGGCAGGAAAGAAGGCGAGCAGAAAAACATGAGAAAATTGAGGGTTAGCTGTGTGCGGCGACTGGGGTTTGTCGAGGGAGTCCTTGGTATTCACTGAAACACGGAACACCTTGGCGGGAAGTGGCCGATCTGTTGGCAGGGGTTGGGCAGAGACATAAACGAACTTTCTGAGGGGGGAAGGGCCGAAGATAGGGGGAGGGAGTGAGATTGGATGGGCGCACGAAAGAGGAGGATGAGAAGTGGGGGTTGGATGGCGCAGGGGATGGAACTGAAAGATACCATGAGCGCAAGGTGCCACGGGGGGGATTGTAGTGGGGAGTGTTGGACTTACCTGGAGAGGAAATTGACGGGGAGTGCTGAAGGTGAAAGGGAGTCCGCCAGTGGTCCGTTGGTTGGAGGAGCGAACGGGAGTTGACAAATGGTAGCAAGTATTGGGGAGTGGGAAGCTTCCCTGCTGTTGTAGAAATGAGGTGGGGTGTAGCGACATGAAAACGAAAGCGCTAAAAAGGAAAAACGATAGCAGAAACTTACCTGTAAACGAGGCTGAGTCATGTAGGAGAAACCTGCCTAGGTGGCTTAGGGTTTGACTAGCCTCGTAGCCTAGTGGGCGGGAAGTTTGGGCCAAGGTGGCCATCGCGCTATCGTCAGGTAGAGCAACGGGAAGGAGAGCCTTCCTCCTTCAAGCATGAGGAATGCCTGCCCTGTGCTGCTCGCGTGGCACCAAGGTGGCCGGAATTTTTTTCACGTGGCGAACTTTTTCACACAGTTTCCCCGTCAGCCACAATACGAATCTGCAAAAGGCATCTTGCAAAAATGCCCACTTGCCACCACACCCTTCATATCTCCAGACAGCAAAGTATCATCACCTTTTCACCAATCAATACCTATAATTCCTCCACCTAATCTCCCCTCCTATCCTCATCATCTTTCTAATCCCTTCATCCACCAATCAAACAAAAGATTCCATACAAAGCCTTCAAATTCAAGCCCCATTCATTCCACCCACCAAGCCTTAAAGCTCGCGTCTCATATTTCCAACCGTTTAACACTTGGTTGGGTTTGCCCGACTGTGATTGGGTAACGAAAACGAAATATTTGACGAGTGGGTCAGAAAATCACAGCGGACTACCAAAACAGTCGAGGCCAAAACAAACCAGGGTGGGTTGGTTTGGGTGGAAAACGAGCCAAGGGGGACAGGTTCGGTCCCCCCTTCTGTCAACGTTGAGTTTCAGAGTCTCATATTTTTGGAAGTTGTAAACGCTTGGTGTGCACGGGAAGTGTGCGACAGCCAACTTTCCCAAACCACCCCTTGCTTTGGTGTGCTTTGCGACAAACTTTGCTGTTACCAAATTCCAATCGTTTAACACTTGGTTGGATAACAGAAATATGAGACGCGAGCTTTAAAATCAAAGCCAAGTTCATCCTATTCACCAAGCCTTAAAATCAAGGACACATTCATTCTCCTCACCAAGCCTTCACTTCAAGGCCAGATTCATCCCCGCCATCTTATCCAATCACAATCTCTCATCTTTTCCTCCTCCTTCATCCAACCTCAAGCTCCACCAAATACAAAACAAAGGGTCCACCCCATTCTTCAAACATACTTTTCAAGCAAGTTTTTTACCCAAGCTCTCCACAAGTTCTACTCCAAGCTCTCTCAAGGCCACTTCAAAGTCCTCCTCCTCATGCCCAACTCCTAAGGCTCCACTCATCACCAACCTCTCCCAACCCAAGCTCATAGCCATGTTCTCCAACTCTAGAGAAGCTTATGCTTCATAGTCTTTCTACTAGATTGTTAATCAATGGTTGCTCTTCAAGTCCATCATGTACCTCCTTTGGACTAGTGCATTTTAAGTTTTAAGATCTCAACATCAACCTTTGATTTTATTCTAATCAAGACTCAAGCTTCACCTTCAACACTCAAGCTTGGAGGTTCTTTTCCACTCAAAAATCAAGATCTACTACTCAACAATCTGTTGAGTGATGCTACCATTCGCATTCACGTCTGTCTGCCTCCCATCATATGTTAGTGCGTTGCATGCGTGTTGTGAGTGTGTGCAGAAATTTGTGTTTTGTGCGGTTTGGTTTTTCTGAGTGTGTGTGTGTGATTGTTATTTGGCTTGAGCAGATATCTGAAGTGACTCCTCTGCTCAAGAGCTTTCCGAGTAACCAAGTATCGCTTCAATCGGAGCACGAACAAGAAAGTTACGAACGTTGGAGTTCGTATGCTTTTGATATTTGGTTGTGGTGACTATGGGAAGTTGTGGGGTTGACTCGATATGGGGTAAAGACTTTTGAGGGTTGGGAAATTCGTCTTTTCTACTGTAGTTGCTGCCAAATGGTTGGGAGAAACCAAACCAGGCTGGCAAGTGTGGCCAAGTTGGGTTGAGGTGGATTGTGGAGGTTGGGATAGTGACAAAGGTCAAAGTTGGGTTGCCTATGGGGAAGGGAATTGTATGGCATGGGGTTTCCTTGATTGGGGACTCTCTTGGGACCTTCCCTCTCGTCCTCCTCATCCCTTCCACCTGGTTTAGTGCTACTCCAATTCTCTTGTGTGAACTTGTGTGAACTTTGTGATTGAGTTAAGATTCTATGGCAGCATACCCCCTAGTGCGCCGAAATTGATAGCTCAAGAAATACTTCACCTTTTCGCATGATTCAACTTGGGAATTGTAGCCACGGAGTAGAGCTACAACATATTCGAGTTTGATGAAGTTTTGACTGTGAACGTTTCGTCGACGGCGTTTCTTGTGAACTCGACTTATCTGTTCAGAAACTAGGCCCAACGATGTTGAGATATTTTGGCTACTAATCTTCATAGACTCCGTCCTTAGTCTCTAAAAAGTGGTATCAGAGCTGATTAAGGACTTTGTGGAGAGTCTACTGAAGTGTGAAGACCCTCATAGACCCACCATGGCCTGTGGGCGTGCCTAAGTGGAGTTCTGGAGGTTGGATGTGACTTCCGCTAAGGGGAAACTCTGCCGAAATTTCGTTGGCGCCGACACTTGTGAAGATTGTGTGGATCTACATTTTGACCAGCAAAAGGGGGAGCTGAAACCTCTGATTGGGAGCAGAGGAGATGAATCAAGGGAGTGGAGATGCAGCTGAGAAGAGGAGTGAACCGCCACCATCCAAGATCGAAGCTTTGGATGGCTCCAACTATGAGGAATGGAGCGGGCGGATGCGGAGCGCCTTCAAGCGCTACAAGCTACTGAAAATTGCAATGGGAGAGGAGAAGATGCCGGGGGAAGGAGATGCCCGCGATCGGTGGATTGAGAAGAGCGCGGTGCTGTACGACCTCATCCTCCAATCGGTCAACAACGACATGTTCTAGCACATCAAAGATTTGGTGGAGTTGGATGATTCCGGACCAAAGGCATGGAAGCTGCTAAGCGACGTGATTCAGCCCAACACGCTGCCGATGGTGATTGTGTTGGAGAAGGAGTTGGCTGCCCTCTCCATGAAACCGGGAGATGATGTGAAACCGGTCCTTGACAAGATCAAGGACACCTATGCGAGGATGGCAGCGGCGGGCAGCGAAGTGTCGCAGATGCAACAGTGCACCAAGATCATCTCGGTGCTCGACAACTCGTGGGACAACCTCATCCCCACCCTCAACGTTCAGCAGGACAAATGGACGCCTGAGTGGCTACGGCAGCAGATTCTGCAAGAGGACTTCCGCAGGCGCCACACGGGAGGTGGTGCTGCAAACAAAATTGCTGAGGGGTATGGAGCTGCAGGAGGCAGCAGAGGAAGAGGGGGAGGGAGAGGCCGAGGCCGTGGGAGAGGCTTTGGCAGAGGGAGAGGCCGAGGTGACTACAATGAGGGGCATGGGAGCTCTGGTGGCAGGGGGAGAACCCGAATGGAGGGTGCGTGCTGGTACTGCAAGAAGGCTGGACACCCATGGTTCAAGTGTTTCAGCCGGCCTGAGGGATGGGCCCCTCCAGGCATGAAGCCGCCAAGTGGTGAACGTGCACGCGGTGGCGCTGTGCAAGGATCAGGTGCACAAGGTGATGGTGCACAAAGTAAAGCC